CACAACAAGATGTCCGATCTCTTCCAGTTGATAAGTTCTCTACTCTGCATCATGCCCTGTGATAATCTCTTCACAAGTGCATTTGCCATATTTTTCACAGTAGCCCAAGAGAGGGATATTACTAGCCTTATTTTGCAAAAGAGTTGACCAGGAGGTTAAACAGGAGCCCCAGGGGGCCATTGTGAGGGTACATGATGAGAGCCAACACACTCTATGTCCTGTGCCTCTACCACCTGGGCTGTGTTAAGTCAGGAAAGCCGTCATGGCTGTGGGTCAGTAAAAGTGAACTGGGCTAGGGGCAGGTTGGAGCTGGACAGTATAAAGGGAACGTTAAGGGAGTAGGGAAGCCTGTAGACCTCTGCGTGGGAACAGTGGGAAGCAAGGGGGAGAAACTTGGCAGACACTCACTCTCCTTGAACTTCCCACGGACAGAAAAACAGAGCGTGGTTCTCTGAAAGAGAAAAACAGCTCAGGCTCCCAGGAACCCATTCCCTGTCCTACCCACCTCTGTCCTCTGTCCCTGGATCAGGCCAGAAGCCACTGCTCACCATCTGGGCACCCACGTCCACCACGAAGGAGCTGAGGTCATGCTGGGTCTTGGGCAACATACTAAGGAAGTCAACAATCTCACTTTTTGTGCGTTTCACCAACAGAACACACAGGCCTGTGGGCAAAGTCAAGAGATGGTCAAGGGCTGCCTCACTGGCTGGGTCCCTGTGTTTTACCCTTTCACTCCTCCCGCCCCATCCTATCTTCATTCTGACACACATACCGATGTCCTTGAACTCTTTCACAGCCCTGCTGTCCTTGGAGGACTTGCCGCAGCTGATTCTAGGCAGAAAGCAGGAATAGGAGGTGGGGACTGGTCAGAATGTGCTGGGCAGTCAGAAGTCCAGGGCTGTCGTCTGGTCTGAGATACTCACCGGGATGGATCCTCAGTGTGGAAGAGAGTAGTCAGTGAGAAGCAGGCATTGTCATGGTAAGCACTCAGGAGTCCCTGTCGGTCCCCATCATCATAGATACTGTAATACCTGAGCAGAAACAAAGACTCCTTAGAGATGTAACAGACCCCCCTGCCCTCACCAATGTGTAAGCCACCTCAGGCCCAAGGAGTTCTTACTGTGTCAGGAATTTCCAGACTAGATCCTTCAGGGTCTCTGATCCAAAGACACTCCCCTGGAATGAACATGGACTTCAGCACCCTAGCTTCCATGCCCTCCTCATCCACCCCTTCAAGCCCTGCTTGGTCCTGCCGCCTCACCTTGCAGAATGGTGACTTCTTGTCATTCCCAATGTCAGAGAAAAGAGGTGGGGGCAGCACTGGATCATCCTGTGGAGGGAAGATGTCAGCAGTGTTGACTGCGCTGGGCTTGGGGCAGTTGATGGACAGGGAAAAGGATCAGCACAGGAAAGATGGGCATCATTCTCATGGGGTCTTCACCAGAGAGACCATGTGCTGATGGGGAAGGGAAAACAAATTCCTTGTGCTCTATCAGCTTCCCCAAGGGGGCTTCTTGCTCAGGGAGATTAGGGGCAAAATCCAAACAGTTTATCTGGCAGGGTCTATGGAATTCCGGGCAGGATGTGGTGGCATTATGTAGCAGGCATAGGAGTCGAGGAAAATGTAATGCTCTCACCAGGCTTAATACCTTGGGGAACAGGTCCAGGAGGTCACTGTTGAATGTCAAGGCAAAAAAGAAAATCAGAGCTTGCCTCCTTGTTTGAAACAAGCCCACCTGCACAGGAACAGAGATGTGTGTGTCTCACCGAACTTTCAATGTCACCCGTCATGGACACTGGGGCCTCCCCCATGGACTCACCCAGACAGGGAACTGGGGGCTGCCCCTCTCCATGCCCCTCTCCTCCTCTCCTTCCTCTTGTGCTGCTCTCATGGGGACAGTCCTGGCCCCTCCTCTAGTGACACAGAAGCATCATGAGAGGCTAGGCTGCAGGCATTCCTCCCTACCTCATATCCCTCCCTGCAGGTTCTCAAAGAAGTCTATGAAGAATGAGGGCATGAGAGAAGGTCCAGGGTTTTTCTACTACACCAGATGTCCAATGCTCTGCCAGGGCTGACTGTGGACAATCCCAGGACATCCCCTAGGGTTGCAGCAGAATGTTTCTCAGGCTGATGAGCGAGGCAGCATAAGGAGGCAGGGAGAGAATCAGGACAGAAAGCCACTGAAGGAATGGTGTGGTGAGAACGGGAGACACAGTCCATTGGAGACGAAGAACTCGTTAAAGGGAGACCAGTGAGGTGAAGTTAGTTGTGAAGGGTGGGCACTGGGGAGAAAGAAGCAAGGATGGGGAAATGATCCCCTCAGCTGCCATTCTGTTTATCCTTCATCTGCCATGGAATAGAAAGCAGGTCCTTGGTCCCCTGTGTGTCCCCCTCTGAGGTGGGCATGGGAAGAGCAGCAGCCATGGGGCAGCAGAGGTTCCCCAGGAGGAAAGGCTCAGGTGACTGCAGAGCAGGGGTTGGAGGGTCTGTGGCCTCTCTTGAGAGCACCACTGCTGTCTCTTCTGGTGGCCTCTGTCCAACTGGGCCTCCCTTAGTTGGTCCCCTGTCTGAGGAACCAGGCTACCTTCGACGACCCAGGGCTCTTCTGAAGTTCCATGCAGGATGGCTCCCCATGCTGTTGGGAGGGCTCAATGCCTCCTGTCTCCACACCTGGTTATGCCTCCAGCCTCACACACTCCCCACCTGCTTCAGCATGCCCTCTGCTCACTGCAGGTGACCCACTTCTCACACAGCGAGTCCAGCTTTCTCCCCCCAGCAAGGCCCAATTCCTATCTTTGAGCTAGGGGAACACATGTCATCATACAGCCAACCATGGGCCCAGTCCTCAGCATGGGGCAGAAAATCCCCACAACAACTGGAGAGAGGGCAGGGGAGCCCCTGGAAGCAAGGGAGAGAGCAGCAGTTTCATTCAATATGGGGAAAAGGCTGCATCAGGGTAGAGGGCCAGAAAGACCTCTCTAAGTAGGACTCCCTGGCCATGAGGTAACTTCACAACATGGTCTGATTCAAGGTAACATCCAAGGGGAAGCTAGGCACTGTGTGCACACCCCCTGTCCTGGAGAGGACCAGGGAACTCTGATTTGCGGAGCATTTTCAGGAGAGGCCATGCCAGAGATGTTTGGTTGGTGACGTGTGGACAAATGGCGGAGAGCAGGGAGCAGGCAGAGGGAAGGCAGGGAGACCTCTAAGCACACAGCAGAGAGGGGAAAGAATAAGATATGTGGTTCTTCCACGTGACTTGGGCAGCCTCATCCTGCACGGTCAAAGGTAGCTGCATGTCCCCAGGGTTTCACCAGACATAACTGACCTTATGTCGGTGGGCTTATCCGGAGAGGTGGTGCACAGGGGCTTTCTGCCCACACTCATCTCCCCAGGCTCCAGTCCCTTCACTGTGTCCATCTCCCCTTCAGCCTTCATCTGCAATGAAAGAAGAAAACATGAACCAGGGACTGTGAACCAGGAGGGCCCTTCCCCCCAATGACACCATCTCCCATAAAAGGCCTTACCACCTGTCTTTTGTCGCCACCCTAATGAGCCCTGCCTCCTCCCTTTCCCAGGGTGCTCTGGCAACTGCTTCTCACCTGATTTGCTAAGCGGTTCCTGCTCTGCACGGTGACATGCTTCTGCTCCATGTTGGCCAGGCCAACCAGCTGGTAGCGTCTAGAGTTGCTCGAGGTGAAGGCCAAAAGCTGTGGTGAGAGAAGAGGCTCCAAGTGGTGACATCTGGGACAAATCTACCCTCCACCCCAGATACCCCATCCCCACCACCACCCTCAGCATGAGTAAAACAAAAGGCCTCACTTTGGGCATGTTCTCCTCAAGGAACTGAAGGGAGGAAGCCGTGTCCTTTCTACCATTCAGTCCCATTTCAGTAGCACGGTGCATCACTCCTTCTGGAATAGGAGACAAGGGGTCAGGTGGATGAAAGGGCGCAGCTGAACCAGCCCCAGCACCAACCCTTCCCTAAATTATCCTCTAACTGCACCTCCCTCAAAATCCGCTCTGCACCCAGATGCCCCAGAATGGCTGCTATCTTGTATACCTGAATCTGAGTGGACCTCCTGAGGAAGGTCATGAGCTCCCTGGCAGCCCTCAACTCCTTTTATCTTGGTCACCTGCAGAGACAGAGATATGGATTAGTGGCTTGTGCCTCAGGTTCTGGGAGGGTAATTGTCAATGGAAGGAGCAGTGGTGGGTCTGCGCGTGGCCATACACCTCTGCAGTCGGTATTCCTTTGTTCAGTTTCCCATTTTTTGACACCAGCTCCTTCTGCATAGACTGGGGCACCACAGAGGGGTTGTCAAAGACAGGGCTCTGCCAAAAAGGGAAGTGATTCAGCTAAATACCAGGACCTTTGAAACCCATCATGGAGCAAGAGACTCCCATCTTCACCTGCCCAATGGCTCCTAATTAGCCTTGGCCATGACCTGACACACACCTTATTGCTATCTTCATCACAAATTTTGTTTTTCTGACATTCTTAAATGCAAGCTCAACGCTGGCACTGACCTGCAAGCTGTGGGCCTGCATTTGCCCAGAGTGAAATTCAGGGAGAGCTACATGAGACCAGAATCCTTTCTCTGCTTCGATGCTTCACTGGTGCTATAGCCACATGGTTGTCTCCGGTGCCAGAGTGAAGGAGATATTTATTGACCCTGGGACAAATTTGGCAGCCAGAACATGTCACACATTATGCCACATGGAGCCTAGGCACATCAGCAAGGATGTAAGAGGCCGCTATCATGATGGAAACAGCGTACAAAGGAACCTAAGCATTTGTTTCTTTCACAGAGCTTTCAAAGTGTTTCTACTCTGAGTGTAAAGTCCGTTATTTCTAACCTGTCTATGATTCGAGGGCTTGATAAATACTGTTTCTGCACATTCCAACCTTTTCTTCCAAATGTTCACCTTCAATTTTCGTAGCATGATTCTCCTTTCCTAAGCTTCTGGGAGAGCCTCCTTTATGTAGACCCCGCCTCCCCCTTTGACAAGGACACCAGAGTCTCTGACCCAGCCCTGTCTCCTCCAACCCGTCAGTTTGAACTAAATAGAAGCAAGCCATGGGGAATTGCTCCATCGTCTTGTGAGCAGTTTACACCTTTTCAGACCACCTTCCCCCTTTCTCCCTGCCTCCTGCCTGTTTCCTTTTTATTGCATCTGCCAACATACCTCTAGATGAATCAAGGTTGAAAACAACTAGTAAGAAAAAGCACACTTTACCAGCTCCCTATGCCCGCGCAGTGTACCCAACGTCCTCCCGTGGGATCGGCACAATTCCACCTACTGTTTCCCTGCCCCTTACATCCACTTTGCCAGGACACTCACTGTAGTCACGGCGAAACGACCAGCGCTTCCATCCTGTCTGTTCCCCTGCATTCCTGTGTCTGGACCTTTTCGCACTCTCTCCATATTACCTTGCTCTCCTTTATGATATCTGTCTCTCCGCTTGAAAATGGAGTTGGAATAGGGGGTGCTGTGGTGACATAGAGAGGCAATAGGTTATGACAATGTTCGCTCATTTATTAATCCCGTCCTGCCATTCTTGATCCTACAAGGTTGTAAACTAGAAGAGGAATGACAACATGAAATCTAATGTCACATGTCCCATTTGGGACATGCATGCCCCCATACTGGCTGGTCACTTACTATCTTACTGCAGAGCTGACCCGGGAATGCCACATTGCTGTGTTTTCCCCTTGCTCCTGGCGGGGTAACTGATTAAGGCTAGGACTGGCTTGCTCAGAAGACTTGGGAATTCTCCTTCTCAATAATACTTCAGGATCTTGCTGATCACAGTGAAACATCAACTTGTGATTGTTCCCTGAAATTGGAAACAACATATCAATCATGGTAATGGCAAAAAAGGTCCAGGGGTGGGGGATGGAGCAAGGATGGTAAAGAAACACCATTGATGTTTTTAATGTAAATAGAAATATACCCCTGTGCTACCAAGAATGAAATATTCCACTGTGGTTCCACTTTAGGGGATCTGAGAGGTAGGCAGTATTTGTAGCCCAAGGTGGAGCAAGCACAGAGGAAAAGGTGTGAGCAGAGGGTCCATGATGCCATGGCCCTTCCTACTCATCTGATCCCTGTGTGGGTGGCCTCAGATAATTGCATAACACCTCTGACCCTGACCTCCCTCTTTTCTTCTGCAGGAGTATGAAGGCGTTCCTTGAATGTTTAGTGTTGCAGTTCAAGGTTGATGGGCAATTTGCATGCCTTGAAAGAAGACTTTGAGGAATGAAAGCTAGAGTTGAGGGAAATAGACAAAATGAAGCACGGACAGAAGAAATGATGGAGAATATGCAAGGAGGGCTGAAGAATTACTGGGGATGGGGTGAATATATGTCACACACGGTCTATTAGGGTCTAGAATCAAAGAGCTTGAATAGAGGAGTACTTAAGGAGGTCATCGCAGAGGATTTCTGAAAGTAACTCAAGACACCAACTTGTTAAAACCAAACATCAAAGAGGTAAAAAGATACTTTGTGACAATTGATTACTTGAGAATAGACGGAGTTTCCATCACGATCAAAGTTTACATTTTTGCATGAATAAAATAATGACAAAACAACCCTGAACTTCTGTCCATCTCAGCGTAGACACCAGAGTATACACAACAAACACAGAAGAGAATATAGGGATTGGCATGCCCGGAATCGTGGGGGACATTTTTAGTGAGTGACATATAAAACTAGCAGATTCTCATCTGTTAAATTGTGAAGATTTAACCAGTGTGAGCCACAAAATTTACTTCATTGGCATACAGCATGGCTCATTAAAAAGCACACGTGAAATGTTATCTTGCAGATCATATGTGGGGCCCTTAAACAGCCTTCTCTTTGCCACTGAGTCCACGGTGATTCACAGCAACCCAAGAAAGCACAGGAGAACTGCCTCTGTGGGTTTCATGGACTGTATGTAACCCACTACGTCAGTAGAAAACCTCACCTTTCCCACCAAGAGAGCCTGATGGTTTGGAACTGGTGAACTTGTAGTGATCATCCTAATTGGCAATTCATTATATCCTCCAGGACACCCAAAGCGAGAGTGCAAACCCTTCTGTAAACCCAAACTCACGGCCATCGAGTCAATTGTGAGTCCTAACGACCCTATTGGACAGCGGTTCTCAACTTTCCTAATGCTGTGAGCCTTTAATAAAGTTCCTCATGTTATGAGGGCCCCCAACCATAAAAATGTTTCAGTTGGGACTTCAGAACTGTAATTTTACTACTGTTACAAATCGATATGCAGGATGTATTTTCATTGTTACAACTTGAACATAATTAAAGCATAGTGACTAACTACAAAGACAGTTATGTAATTATGTGTTGTGAAGTATTTGTTTCTAATGAAAACGAAATTAAATTTTGCGTTGAAACATGTTGTAGCACGGGCAATAGTCTTCACTCCGGTTACTCAGATATGGCCATATCTGCATGTGGGTGCACCCTCCTGGAGATGGAGACAGGAGCATTTTCTCAGTTCCTAAGACCATCAGAAATACGTGTATTCAGATGGTCTCAGGCGACCCGTGTGAAAGGGTCGTTTGAACCCCCAAAAGGGGTGCCACCCACAGGTTGGGAACCACTGCTATTGGACATGGTAGAGGTGCCCCATGTGAACTTCTGAGACTGAAACTATTTACGAGAGTAGTAAGCCCCATCAATCTCTCAAACACTTTTCTTAAAATACTATCATCTAATTGGAACAGTTAGGGGGCCCCTTCCCAGAGATGTAATACAAATCCCGAGACGGTAAATTCCCCACGTAAAAAACCCTGGGTACCTTCCTCACTCCACAAACCGTGAATCACTTGACTCATGTCTGTCTCCTCAACCAGGAGAAGGACTTTACCTGAGCCGGGGTAAATCACACAGAGGGGTTTTCCATGCCGTGTCCGTCAGCCCCCATCCTTAAGCTCCTGGACAAGTCACCTGCCCACCCTACTTTGTAAGGATTTGTTGGATTCAAGGCTAGGAGGGGAATGGGCTCTGAGAGTGCCCTTCCTAACCCCTCTCTCCTGCTTCCTGGGCTGACCAACTCACTCACCTTGTTGTAGCTTGCAGCCAGGAATATGTCACCATGGTCCTCACTGGGATTTCCTGATGAGAACTGTGAGGACAGGAGCCTGGGGTTGTGGTAGATCAAAGTGGTAGAGCTTCAGGAAGGCGAGAGCTACCCACAAACCTGCTTGTCGGAGCCGCCCAGGACTGTGCTGCACAGTCAAGATGGAGTCTCCACAGGAAATATCCTTCCAAGGGCACAAAGAGGAGTTGCTCAGGAGGTCGAAGAGAGTTAACTTTCTGTTCTTACTGCACCCTACGATTGCTACTAACTTGCCACTGATTTCCAACCAAGCTCTCCTCCCTCTCCCTGCAGAGGAAGCGAACTCTAGCCAAGAAGCCTCAGTTAGAAATATTGTAGCTAAAATTGCAGAGATGTGAGACTACGCTTTGGATCACCATGTCTCTGTGCTGCCACCTTCTGCATACCCATGGAACTAGGAGCCCTTCTCCCCCAAATGGGCTGTAAAAGTTGGTGGACAGGACCACTCCATTGTTTAATCAGAGTTAAGTGCCTAAGGCAGAGCACAGACCATTCTAAAAGCAGGGACCTTCCATTCACTTCAGCACTCTATCTCTTCAGAAGGCGATGCCCAACTACAGTTCAGAAGACTTGTAAAAGCTACATGCAGGTGACCAGTGGCTGTAACCTTCTACGTCATTACCAGTCCTTCCTTCCTGAGGGACAGCCACCTCAAGCTTCAGTAATTGCCAGGCTTCACGGATTGAGAGGCTTGAGCCTGCGTCCAAACCATAGGATAAACCTGAGCCAGCCTGTACGTCACCGAGTGAGTCTGAGGGCTGAACGTCCCACATATGAGCAGTCAGCCGAGCGTCAGCTCCACCTGAAGAAAGATCCACGAGTGAGCAAGTTTCAGGGGTTCACCATGCTATTATGACTGGAATAGCTGGCCCTTCGTACGATCCGCGCTGTCAAATGACTACAGATCACATGGCTGCAGGATGATGCTGACGGGATCAGAGTTGTGCAGATCACAAGACTCCCCTGGTTATGAAAAAAAATAGCAGAATCATGTGACCCTATAAATGTGCGCATGCATGCACACACACAACTCCCTTTCCTAGGATGGCTGTGTTGCCTTCTGACAGTATGGTTCTACGATATTAGGACTGTCCTGATTTTATGGTTCTGGAAACCCAAACTCTAGTGTTTGTGTAACCGGACGTTGCCCGTGTTACTCAGCCACCCCTTGCTAGAGGTGACTTCTAGAGACCTTCCATGGGATATAAGCTTGCACTGTACCCACCTCTACTTAATGTGATAATTGAATGGGCTTTTATTTAATAACTCTTTAATTTTAATACATAAAATTACTACAACACAATAAAATTAAATTAAAAACCGAACTCATTATCATCGAGTTGTGCCAACTCATAGTGACCTTGTCTGACAGGGTAGAACGATACCTGTGAGTTTCTGAGTCTATAGCTCTTTATGGGAGTAGAAAGCCCCAAACCAAGTTCTCCCTTTAAACCATCACAATTGGCAGGGCCGCATGACCCTCTAAGTGCACTTGGGGGCCAGCACACATGCAATATTGCTTTCCTGAGTAGCCCATGGTGGGGGTCGGGGGTGGGGGTCCTGACAGAAGGGTTCTAGGATAGTAGGCTTCTCAGGATCATTATGGTTCTGGAAACCAAAATTCTAATGTTTCTGTAACTTGAGATTGTAGATGTTACTCAACGACTCCTTGATACTGGTGCGTTCAAGGGGCCATCCACAGCTTAACAATTTGGAATTTACCCTACCTCTGCTTAATGCACTTGTTTTATGTGCTTTTTTCTAATCACTATTTAAATTTAATACATTGAAATTACCCCAAATACAATAAAATTACCACAAAAACAATAAAATAGGTCCTCCTTAAAACCATAAGCATTCTCATAATGTAGGAGCCTGTTAAATACAATTAGCGGTGGGAACATGGTTGCCTTGATGTTTACATCCTGTCTAGAGCAGCCCCACAGGGGTCCTGGTGGTGGAGTGCCTTGCATTTGGGCTGCTAACTGCAGTCAGCAGTTCACTACCACCTCGTGAGAATCACCTGACTTTCTACTGCCTTAATGAGTTACAATCTCAGAAACGAGGTTCTACTCCGCCCCTGAGAGTCATTGTGAACGGGCACTGAGTGGATGGCTGGTTATGTGCTGGGTTCTTAATCAAAAGGCCAGCAGTTTGAAAGCACCAGCTGCTGCTCAGAGGAAAGCTGAGGCTCTCTACTCCCGCGAGGACTTACATTCTCAGAAACTCACCGGGGCAGTTCTACCATCACCTCTGTGATTACGAATGGACTCGATTGAACGATGCAAAGGAAATGGAAACAAATGAATGAGCTTTAGTTATCAATTTAAAAAATCTGTGCCGTGATTACTATATGTGAAAGGTACTTTCACAGATAAACTCATTTCATACTGATAACTTTATGATGGCTATCCTTTTAGGAATCAAATCTTACAAAGGAGGACCTTGAAGTCCAGGGGGTGGTAGTAGACTTGGCTAAGAGATCACAGATCTTGTTGATGGTGGATTCAGGATTTCCTCAAACTCTGTGTTCTGGTCAATCACCAGATTCCCCAAAGAAAATTCATATGATTTCACCCTGACTAATTCAAACACACAGGAAACCCAGGCACTGTGATAGAAAATTTGAACTCAGGGAAGATCTTTTTGAAATGACATTTCAATACTTTGAAGTACTATCCATGCTAACAACAAAGTGAATCTAGTCAAGGAGCTGGCTAGATTCATGTGAATGTACAGTTAGACCTTTTTCATATATGAAATATTTGTATATAAAGCCTCACCTATTCTGACCTATAGGAGTAAATAAAATACTAGATGATAGAAGACATTTCTTCTTTTCAATATACATTAAAAATTAAAATAATTAGAGAGTATCAACATCATACTTGTTGCTTTCCGGAACTTTAAGAATTAAAATATAAGAAGCTGAATTCATTAGGATTGACTCTGCTAATCCTCCTTAGAAAGAATGGAGTATACACTCTATTTCTGAAAAATCCCATTTCACAAAACCTGCAATTGCGGATTTGTCTGTGAAATCACAGCTTTGTCTGCATGTCCAAAATATTGGAATTGGTGTTTCTGGTTTGCAGGCTTAGGCAGTACTAGTGGTGAGATTATTTTCGCAGGTGCCTGCAATGTGGCATGACTACAACAATCAACTGAAGAAAGTGCACAAGGTTAAGTTTTCATCATGGTTAAATCAAAGTATTTAACAGAACAACAGAAAAGTGGGTGAATGGAGATGTCGGACAGGGCAAGATATGACAAAATAAAAAATATAAATTATCAAGGGCTCATGAGGGAGGGGTAGTGGCGAGGGAGGGGAAAATGAGGACTTGATGCTGGGGGCTTAAATGGAGAGCAAATGTTTCGAGAATGATGAGGGCAATGAATGTACAAATGTGCTTTACACAATTGATGTATGTATGGATTGTGATAAGAGTTGTATGAGCCCCTAATAAAATGATTTAAAAAATCAGGATATTTAAATGTAGGGACAACAGGCTGTGTTTGTAGTTACAAATCTATCCATAAATGCCATGCATCTGTTTTTGATAAAGCATAAAGAGAGATGGCAATATTCGTGTAGACTTTAGATGATATTGGGAAATTATTTACTTGACATATGTCAACACAGGATATGAAAAAGAACCTACACCTTTACAATAGTACTTACAAAGAAACCTCAAATGGACTTTAGGATTCATCTGTGCACATTCCAAGGGATACCTGCTATCTGTCCCAACTATCAAACCACATGTAGATAAGGCAGAGCAGCGGTGTGAGTCACAGGTAAATGCTATGGAGCTTACCTGTGCTCAAGGGAGACTTCGACAGTATTGATTGTGATGCTGGACAACTTGTGTCACCTAAACGACAATCTGATGCTCATAGCTCTCATTCTTCCTCTGAGATGATTAACAAGACTTCCTTGGGATTAGAAATTACATATATATTTAAGTACATCGGTGATGGGTTTTCAGCACTCTCTAATGTAAATGGAGTGGGGGACTAAGTCTATGGATGGATTCTGTAAGGCTGGAGTCCACGTATGCTAGATGTTTAAAAACTGCATTTAGAAGGGCTGATGGATTAAGCGTTGAGTACTTTTTTATAAGGTTAGCAGTTCAAACACATAGCTGATTTCTCTCCAGTGACAGGCAGTTAATCAGATTTTTACAGTAACACAGTGAGAAAGGGAGAGATCCTTGCTGGTGTTGCCCCATGTCAAAATTCACACTCTGTCCACCCTCCGATGGGCTCATTCTTTAGGGACTTGCACAACATGCAATTGGCAAATCGCAGACACAGGGAGAACTTTTGTCAGCCAAAGGATGGAGAGGAGCTAGAACCTAGGGATTGTTTACAGGGTGTTTCTCATGAATTTGACATTTATGAGACTCAGAGTCTGGTCCGTTTGGTCAATCAGAAAAATAATTTTAATTATTGTCCTTCAAACCATCATGAGACCAGATTTTACATAATAATTCAAGTTGCTTTTCTTGCAACCCTATTTATTACACTTTACTCTAAATACTTGACATGGATCTGTTAGAATATGATGGGGATGAGGGTGTTTCACCATTTTTTATTTTCTTTTTAGCACTTTAGATTTGAGTAACTGCGTTTACTGTTAAGTTCCATGGAATCAATTCTGACCCATTGTGACCTTATGCATAATGAAACACTGCCCAGTCCTGAGCCACCCTCACAATTGTCCTTATGTTGAACCCATTGGTACAACCAGGGCTTGAACTCATGTCCTCGAGGCCCTCCCTCTTTTTTACTGCCCCTCTACCAACCGTGGTATGCTCTTCTCCAGGCACTGGTCTCCCTGACAATGTGATCTAACATATAAGACAAAGGCTCTCCATGCTCGCCTCTAAGGAGCATTCTGGATGTACTTCTTCCAAGACAAATATGTTTATCCTTTCAGCAGTCCATGGGACTTTCAATAGTCATCTCCAGCACCACAATGCAAATGAATCGATTCTTCTTCTATAGTCAGTGTTCAACTTTCTCTTGCACATGGGGCAGTTGAATGTATCATGGCTTGGTTCCGGTGGGTCTTCAAAATAATATCCTGACTTTTTAATATTCTTAAGAAGTCTTGTGCAGAAGACTTCACTAATGCAGCCC